CCCACCCCCTACCCCACCCCACATTACTTTTTTCTAAGCCTGGAATGCCTTCTAGGCCAGGCAAGCTTTTTTTGTCTCCTCTAAGACCCAACTGAAATGTTCTCTTCTCTGAATTCTCTCTGAGTCCTGCCAGAAGAAAGTATTCACTCCCTCCTCTTGGCTGACACAGCAGCTTGGTTAGCTTTTATGCTATTAAAACATTGATCACATTGTATAGTCATATACCTGTTAAGTTTTAATAGGTTTCTCAGTCCCTTGAGATTGTGAGCTCTTTGAGGGAGACCTTACTTTATGTATCTCTTTATCCCAGTCTGGTAGTGAATGATTGTGACTAGTTCCTACTTATTGAACATTTACTATGTGCCAGGCACTGTGGTACATGTGTCGCATGTATTTATTTCTTGATTTCCTCCTAACAACTATCCTATCAGGGTGGGTGGTAATATCTGCATTTTGTAGATGAGGAAGCAGGCTTAAATAACTTGCATCAGCAGGGTCACCCAGCTAGTAAGTGGCAGAACTGGAATTTGAAACCAGACCTGTCTGACTTCAACACCTGGCTCTTAAGTGCTCTGCTGTACGAAGGATAGTGATGATTCAGATTTGATCTGCCCTCTTTCCACAGCACTGACCAGGAAGAAGGCTGTGACTGCCTGGGGAGGCTTTGCATCCGTTGTGCTGAATGCCTGGTAAGCCCATGCCCTTTCTTCTGTTTGCTGCTAGTGTTTTGCTTCCTGCTCACTTAAGGGGGTCCTTTGCTCTCACATGCAGCAGGTAGGTCTAAAACAAAGCACGAACCAGGTTATTTCCAAAGCATTTTGTTCTCAGAATCCCCCTACCAACTCTAGCCATTGTTTATTTATATTTTTAAAGTTTTTTTTTTTTTTTATTGTGAGTTATGTGATAGTTTACATGGGAGAACATTAGCTTTACATTCATCCTATTGTATTTCATTTCATTGTAAGGATTACAATCCCCTCCATGCATCATCAAACAATCAAAGGGTATACCCTGCAAGCCTGCTCCTTGGCTGCCAGCACACAGCCCCTCTCCCTCCCTGAATCCAGAGTCCCCAGCTGTGACATCTCTCCATGTCATCATCTCTGCCTCCATCTCTGGTGTCACTGCTTCTCTGGGTAGGGTCCCGCACTCTGCTTCTCTCCCCTGATTTTCCCTGGGACCTCTGCTCCTGGGCTGCAAAATCAACCACTCCCCTCCTTTTGTTACAAAACATCTACCTGTACATTTCCAACCCTCACAGTCAATCCTGGTAGCATTTATTCACTATTGTACCTCAGGAGTCTTATCACCATCTCCTTTCATCAGCCTCATCGAGGCAGATTAGAAACCACTCATTGGAGAGTCTACCTTCCTCCGCACCCTCTGAAAGTAGTCTTCCTCTTGAAAGCTTGTGAGCCAGTCACGTCTTACCTTTGTAGCTCCCCCTTTTGGGTAGCCAATGTCTAAGTTGCCCATCTTTGTTAACCCTGTGTACCAAGGGGATGGGAATGATCCTTGCTGTAAAGATTTGTTCCCTCTTTTGAGCTACTACATCCATAAGTATAGGTCAAGTTCATCAAATTGTAGCAGATTACTCTTTTTCCCCTCTTCTTTCTTCTTCTAGTCAAGTTCTGATCATCCAGCCGTTGAAGCCAGGTCAAGTGGGTACTATCTGCAAGTATGGGTGTTCTTATGCATCTCCCCTCACTTCATATCAGCTGGATGCTTTATTCTCTGCTCTAGTCCTCTGTGGCCATGTCACTGTCCCTGGACTTGCCATACTGCTGGCCAACCAGGTCTCAATCCAGGTTCACAAGAGTCTATTGAACATGGCCGGACTTAGCTCACAATTTCATTGCTGTTTTTCCCCCACTTCCCCTTATCCGTGACCAACGTAGTCACCAGCCAGACTATATGCCCGCTCGTGTATTCCCCTTGAGTCTTAGTCTGGGAAGGGGGTTTGCCCTGAGGGGACCGACCACTTGCCTTGATGCCTCCCGGCGAACTACTTTCTTGTTCTTGTAAAGTTGTTCTTGTAGTAGTCAATGAGACTGCTGTTATTGTTTTCTAACCATTATTTTGTATTCTGTTTCATAGGCAAAGAATGGTAGCCTTAAGTTAGGGAATGGGATGATGTAGAGCAGTCTCTGCTGACTAACAGAAAATTCTGGAAGGAAAGTTGTCCTATGCTACTGAGTTCATATTAAGGCTAGGCTAGAACACTGCATTTAGCTTTTCTATGGAGCCCCAAGTGATATAACCTTTGAAATGACTTGACAGCTTCTATCAGAAAGATATACCCATTCAGAAGGCAGGAGTTTTGATTTAAATTTCAAAAGACTGCCATTCCTAGCCCTTTGAGCACTTGCTGTGACTGGTAGGCTAGTATAACTGTCCCAGGATTCTAGAAGCAAGAAAGACTCTGATGTGGTGAAGTTGGAAAGAGGTCAAGTGCAACTTATGGTCTACTATGAGGCTTAACTATCACTGCAAGGCTTAACCTTGAGCCCTCTGTGTACTTGTTGCCAAGCTCAGCACTTGGCCAGATGACCATAGCCTAATTACTCATTGCAGTCTTCTTTGGTTTCTTCCTCTTGTGTCAAACCCACTGCCACTGAGTCCATTACAATTGAGAGCTACCTTTTAAGACAGACTAGAACTGCCACGTAGGGTTTCCGCAGTTGTGGCTCTTTACACAAGCAGACTGCCTCATCTTTCTCCTGTGGAGCAGCTAAAGTTTGAACAACCAACCTTTTGGTTAACAGCTGATCACTTAACTGCTGTAACACCAGAGCTCCATTTCACTTGTATCCATGAACGTAACAGGTAAAATGAAGGAAAGATTGATGGTGCCAGTAGAGCGGACTTGATACCAATCCTTTCAGGTTTGAATATTTTGATAACACAAAATAAGAGAATGCCATATGATTACTATCTACATTCCAGTCATTTGTTGAGTACCTGGCATATGCCAGGTACTATTCTAGGTACAAACTGACAAAAGTCCTTGCTCTTAAAGGACTTACATTCTTTACCTAGTAAACTCTCTCATATACTTCAAGATACAGTGGAATGTCACCTTCTCTTAAATTGGAGTAAAGACACTAACTAAAATTTAAAAAATAAGTAAGGTATATAGTATATCCAGGCGTCTTGGTGTGGAGCTGTTGGTTAATGCTCTGGACTGCAGTTCAAGCTCACCAGTCACTCCTCGGAAACTCTAAGGAGCAGTTGTTTTACTCCGCCCTTTAGGGTCCCTATGAGTAGTTGGAATCGACTCGATGTCAGTGGGTTTGGGTGCATATACCATTGTTATTGTTGTTGTTAAGTGCTGTCGAGTCGGTTCCAACCCATAGCGACCCTGTATAGGGTTTCCAATGAATAACTGGTGAGCCTAAACAGCTGACCTTGCATTCAAACTGACTTTGCAGTCCAGCGCCTAAACCTGCAGTGCCATACCAGGACTCAGAGACCACACATCTGAATTCAGGGCACTGGCTCTAAGGGAAAGACTTACAATATAACTTACTGTTGACCCTGGGAGGAGGTCCTGTTTGTTCTCAGCTTCTGTTCCCTGGTCCTTGGCAGTCTTCACATGGTCTTGGCATCTGTCTTCTCCCATCGATGTTTCCTTGCTTCTGTGCCTAATCTCATCTTTCTATCTTGAAAGTCATAGCCCTAGGACATACTCTACACTGATTTGGCCTCAGTTTTATGATAAAGAGAACCCGGTTCTTAAATGGGATCACAGCCATAGGTATGTTGTGTTATTTGCCAGTGGAGTTGGTTCTGACTCATAGCAATCCTGTATAGGGTTCAAACCACCAACCTTGTGGTTGGTGCTTATCCTACAGTGCCACACCAGGACTCCATCTATAGGTATATTGTTGTTGTTGTTAAGTGCCTTTGAGTTGGTTCTGACTCCTATTGACCCTTTATAGGGTTTCCAAGGCTTTTCAAAATCTTTGTGGGAACGGAAAGCCTCATCTTTCTCCTGCAGAGTGGCTGATGGGCTTGAACCATGGACCTTGTGGTTCACAGTCCAGTGCACATTGTATGGAACTATCACATACCCAATTCGTAGGTATAGGGGTTAGGATTTATAACACATATATCTGGGGACACAACTCAGTCCATAATATTATAGGTTTGTTGGTGTATGTATGTGGTAATATGTATATATTACATACATATATAAAACATAACACTTGACAATTTAATATTTTTATATGTATAATTCTGTATACCAGTTATATTAATTATGTTTTGCAACTGTCACCCGCATTTAATGCCAAATTTTCCATCACCATTAACTGATACTCATTGTTTATTAAACAGTGATTTCCTCTCCCTCTCTCTCATGACCCTGGCACCCACTAGTAATCTTGATCTCTGTACATTTGTCAATTTCGTATAAGTAGGGTCATATATTTATCCTTTTGTGACTTCACTCAGCCCAACGTTGTTTTAAAATGTCATTTAGTAGAATGTTTTCCAGGTTCATCCATGTCATAGCATGTATCAGAACTTTATTTCTCTTCATGGCTGGATATTCTATTGTATAGATATATACCACATTTTGTTTATCCACTCATCTGTTGGACACGGGTTGGTTTCTACCTTTTGGCTGTTGTGAATAATATTGCAATGGTGGACTTACATTCTTAATGAAACGGACTCTACTGCAGGTTTTTGAATCAATATGAACTGATTTATGTTTTCAGAGGATATCTGTGACTTCTGTGTTGGGAATAGACAGTAAGGGACCATACAGAATGAGAGAAACCAATTAGGGGCCTTTAGCAAAAATCCATATGAGGGAAGATGATGGTGGTTTGGACTTGGGTGGTGGTGTTAGAAATGGTGAGAAATTATTGTATTCTGATTATATTTTGAAGGTAAAGTCAGAAAGACTTGCTGATGGATTGCAAGTTCTGTTTCAGGGGGTAGAGTGAAAGCATGCAATTTTTGCCCAAATTCTAATCATGACATTATGCTTCATATATGCATCATATCTACTGTTCTTTCCCTCTAGGATTCAGACTATGAAGACACATATTAATGAAAATCTATATGATATAAGAAGAGTCACCCATCTGATAATAGAAAATAGTCCATTCTACTGGCAGCTAAAGCTTTTTGTATAAGTGAAGCTGACCCGGACCAGCAGTGATGGAGGATTCTGGAGGTCATCAGTAGAGACTTTGGGAATCAGTTATTTATTGAAGAGATGCTTTTTTTGTATTTATAAACTGTTCAAAAAACTCTCAGAGAGAGTCCTAACTCCCCCTTGAATAAGTTATACTTTAATTGAATGAAGAAATTCTTTTCCTAAACAGAGATAATTTTGTTTTGCCTTTGCTCTTGAATGTATTATATATCTTCCAGTTATTTGAGGGAGAATCTTAAATGTTTGCCACTGCTGATACCAAAATAATTTTTTTTTTTTTTTATTATTAAAATGGAGCTTGGAGTACCCTGATGTGCTATCAGACAGATTGTTTGGGATTTATATCCCTTGGTTTTTTTTTTGCTCCAGGAACATTTTCAGCCATGAGTTAGTGTACTGTATATCTTCATCATTTTAATGACGTTGTCACCGTTTGATTTGAATTGTGTAAGCAATGATTTGCTTTGATTGGATTTTAAGGTATTAATGAAGAGTCGTCAAGTTAGAATTAAGGAAAAGAATGGTGACACAAAGGACTTTCTTTCTTTTGTCTTACTATGTGCCATTTCAACCAAGGAGCCATTGTTTTTTCACTTTCTTAACAGCTCATTGCTTTCTGGTTTTCCTGACTTTTTACGTCAGAGGCAAGAAAAGCCCTTCAAAAAAAGGACTTTTAGACTGTCTTAGCAGTTATTTGCAGTGAAACCATCTTTTACTCTGTGTTATTTAAAAACCCCCCAACAAAACTTTAATTTCTTGAATGCAGCAAATATGAGTGTACTGTGGTATTTGCAAGCTCTTTTTGTGTAATATTAGAGGTGAGGAAGTGAAGTTGTGTATAACTGATACTTCTCCCTTCTGTTCTCTCAGCACTTTGTAGCAGCTTCCTCCTTTCTCAGATAGCAACTTATTTTATGTTCTGATTTGTTTGGAATTTTTCTGTAAGTCATTAAGAAATACGTAGGACATGTCAGGAAGGGTGGGTAGTGTATATATAAATAGTCCTTTGTGATAGAAGGATTCACATCTCAATTAAAAGAGATAAAAATTAAAAACTATTCCTTTCCCCATTTTTGCTTTTCAACAGAATGGTCCTGTTTCCATTGCTATTGTTGTTGTTGTTGAGTGTTGTTAAGTCTGCTCTGACTCATAGAGACCCTGTAGAGGGCTTCCAAGTCTAGTAGGTTTGAACTGCTGACTTGTGGTTAGCAGTCCATTGCTTATCCTACAGCGTCACACCAAGACTCCATTAAGTAGCTCTGGAGGTTCCTATTATAGCATTAAATATGATATATGTTATTAAACATTAACTTTCTTTCATATATATATTTTAATTTGGGTTGTTAGATCTGTCTCATAGATTTGGTTCAGGCACTGCTAACTGTAAGGTTAGTAGTTCAAACCCACCAGCTGCTTCTTAGAAACACCCTCTACAAGTTCGCTATGAGTCAGAACCAACTCAAAGACACTTAATACTAACACCAACATTTTGCTAGTTTAGACCACAGATTAGAGAATCTGGCCAATTATTGTTGTTTTGGGGTGCCATTGAGTTGGTTCCAACCCAAAGCGACCCTGTATAGGGTTTCCAAGGAGCGGCTGGTGAGCTTGAACCACAGACCTTGTGGTTCAAATGACTTTGCAGTTCAGTGCATTAACCCACAGTGCCACACCAGAACTCTGGTCAATTATTAGACATAGATATTTACCTCTGGTCATAGAAGGGAGTCAGCAGAAGCAAAGACAGAGTAGGCATTGACAATTTACATTTCCAGTGGTTAGACCTTCATGCTTGTTTGGAGTACTTGTGGTTATATGGGGCCAATCTTGTGAGACCATTTCTGACACCTCAACAGAAAGAGGAAATAATTTGATCAATGTGAATAAATAATTCAAGCTGTAGAAGATTTGAAGATAGAAATTTAATTGTGAGGGGGATTTCTATGGGTCCTTATTTCTCTGAGAAACAGATAATGCTATAGGAACTCAGTTAAAGTCAGTTTTGGCTGGGTCTTTTTGTTATGCCCTTGCAGGCATATTGTAGGATAATCCAGTGTGGTATTTTTGACCTTTTAGGTGAATGCTCACTTGTGCTATTCTGTATTCGTAATCATGATTTGGACCAGTCCCTTCCTTTTTAAATGGCTCAACAATAGAGTCCTTTATGGTAAGGGAATCAGTTGATAATGTAGTCTGCTTCATGGGTCTGTGGTCACATCCCAGTCACAAGGCTGCTATCTGTTTCCTTCTTCTTCCCTTATATTGAGATCTGGATTACAGCTGTTTTATTCCAGGGAGCACAAAGCAATGTTTGGATGCCTACTTTCTTTAAGGATGGAAGGAAGATGAAAGGATTAGACTTTTTTCATTTTTATGACCTACTGTTTCATATCTTTCTAAGGTGCTATTCTTTCTCTCACACTCTCTCTTGGCTGCTTCATGAGCTATTGTCATATGGTAACGAGACCAACCTTATCTAGAAAGGGAATTTAGTTCTGAAAAGTTCACAAAGGGTTAAAAGCCTTTCAGAGTTTTTCTTAGGCTGCTGATGTCTTTACTTGTGGTTACATTATCTTACAGTTCTGTGTATTAAACTCTTAAGTGTGATACAGAATGTGAACGTTTAAGGTGCTTTGTGTTTCTCATGTAACCTGTGACTGCAGGCTTGGGGGACATCTTAGTTCTTTGCAGCTCCCAAATTGGACACCGGTGCTTCAAGAGGGAACATTGCATGCTCCTGTTTTTTGGTTGTGGTTGCTGCTGTTTTTCGGTCTGGAAGCCAAATCTTGAATCTAAATGCTCTACTGTGTCACTCAGTTACGCTTCTAAAGATGAATTGCAAGAAGAACCCCCAGAGGAGTGGAGCAAGACTATCATTTAATTGCACAAGTCAAAGCTTTGCATCAGAAGAGGCAGCTCCATCGTTGGACTCCAGCGTCGGACTGTTACTGCTGCATCTCAGTGTTTTTTTGTCTTTTTGTAAGAGAGTATGTACTATTGGACATGTGGACAGATATTGTAACTCTTGGTATCTTACCATGTAATGGATAATAAACTTCTGTGCATTTTCCATTTGCATGAAAGTTGTTGTGTGGAAAGAGGGGGCTTTGTGGTTTTCAGCATCAAGCAATGAGTCACCTCTGAGTTACTCTCAAGCGAAAACCTGCATAAATTCAGTGGTGTGCTGGGAGCTGACTGCTAAATTCTTAGGGTTTTAATGAATCTGATGTTAAATTATTGGTAGCTCAAAATTGGTCATGGTGGAATTAATTTACACTACAGAAATAAGTGGTTGACACTTATCACTTTCTAAGAACCATCCAGAGTAATCCTTGAGAAGACCAGGCATTCAACAGCATTTCAAAGAATGCAAGACAACTTCTGTAAAATGAGTATATACTTCTTTACATATAGAAGCCCTAATACCGAGGACAAAATTGAAGGCATATACATTGAGAACACTTATTTTGAAGGGGTCACGTCAGGCCAAGGGTTACCTTGGAGTGAAGAAGACTTGAGTTTTCATCTAGGATACCTAAGTCATCCAAAGGGGCTCCCAGGGGGAATAAATTGCTGCCTGTATTCTGGAAATGCTGGTTTCATACTGTTAGGAAATCTGTGTCTGATTGGTAATTCTGAGGATTATGCAGGCATGTCTTTGAAAGCAGGGATTTAGTGAATGCCTGGCATTATTGTAACTCTGTTGAAAGATAAAAAGAAAGGGGGACTAATATACCTTGAACATAGAGTAAAATATTTTGAGTTAATCTAGAATTGTATTTTTTCTACATGAGGAAGATCTCCTCAACAAATATTTGCCTGATGCCATGCAAGACCCTACCCTCAGAGAGTTTGTAATCTAGAAAGGGAGATGGTCTTTACAGAGATCTGTAAGGCTTACCTCAAAAGATATAGGTGTCAATTCTATTTTGAATGAAAGTATAAATCCACAGTAGATAATGGACTAGATGACTGAAATGAGAACATGGTTTCAAAGGTTCCTGTTTTGTATGTATCTCTGCAACCACTTCAGAACACATGCGTTTTTTCTTAGTCTGACCCCGTCTGCCAGCAGATGCCTTTTCAGTTGAACCTGGGGAATTGTAGCTACATTGCTTCTATTGGCCAGTTTTCATCTTAGGTAAGAAATTTTATCATATTTTTAAGGCAGTTATTTGAATTTTTCTCCTCAGAAAAGGGCTGGTTCTGAGGTGTTTATTGGAAATTCTTTAGGTTTCTGAGGACACACTCACAAGCCGCTTAAATTCAGCATAGGGACTGTCCTGAGGGTGTACTGATTGCAGTTTTCTGTAGTGTAGAAAAACTTTTTTAAGATTCTCAGTGGAAAAGAGACTGACATTTACTTTTAATAAATGATGATAATAAGACTTTAGCTTTTAAGTTAGGTCAAGGTATTCTTGACTGAGTTCACGACAAGACTTTTCCTTCATTGCTTCTCTTCACCTGATCCTATGCAAGCATTTTTAACCTTACGGATCAAGGAACTTAAACCTCCCCAGAGAGTTAGATGATTGTTTATTATGTTTCTTGTACCCTCCGCATAGTCTTGGTATCTCAAAAGAGTGATGTGTCATGATTTCTGTATAGTCCAGACTGAAAGAGGGACCAAGACTTCCGAGGTCCTCCTCAAGTAGAGAATTGACTGATGTAACTTGGGTTATGTTTAAGAAGCTCTGTCTTAAGTGGTCTGCAGAATCACACCAGGACCCTTCAAAGGAGTAGTTATGTGGATTTGTATACCTAAGGACAACTGTGAGCCAGGAGGCTCACAGCACTGTTAGTGAATGGTGTGAGCAATGAAGACTTGGCAATTGGTGGTTGATTGTTCTTATGAGGGACAGACCTTTTCTGAGAGACAACCTTTCAAAAAT